TCGTTTTCCTCCCTTTCACTTTTGAGTCTATATATATCCTTGAAGCTGAGATGTGTTTCTTGAAAACAGCATATGGTTGGGTTTTGTTTTTGAATCCAGTTTGCTACTCTGTGCCTTTTTATTGATAACTTCAGTACATTTACATTTAGGGTGATTATTGATATATGTGGATTTCCTGTAGCCATTTTATCTTTTGTTTTTTGGTAGCTCAGTGTCCATTGTTTTTTTGCCTTTGTATTTCTGCCTGTTATTTTAGTTTGGGGTTATTCTATGATATTTTTCCTCTGTTTCCTCTTTTGTTATATATCTCAGTTCTGGATTTTTTTTTTTGGAGTGGTTACCATTAAGTTTATGTAAAAGAAAGTTTCATGTATACAGTACTTCCTTTTTCTTCAACATACATCTTATCTCCATTCCCCTTTGCAAATCCAGACTTTTACTCCCTCCCCTTTTATGTTTTTGTTGTCACAAATTATCTCTATTTATGCTGTGAGTTCATTTCTGAGTTACAGTAGCAAATTGTCTTCTTCTCTTTTTTATGTTTTTATCTCCTTTATGCTATATATAAGTGTATAGTGCCCTATTCTAAATAGGAGTTGCCATTTACTGCTTCTGTCTGTCTGTTAATCATTTTACTTATACTTGTGTATCCTTTTGTCTTTTTGCTTCAGGTAGAATAACCCCCGTCAGTATTTCCTGTAATGCAGGCTTTGTGGTGGAAAATTTCCTCAACTTCTATATATCTGGAAAGGTCTTTATTACTCCTTCATATCTAAAGGATAACTTTGCTGGGTATATTATTCTTGGCTGGTAATTTCTCTCTTTTAGTAGTTTGAATATTTGATTCCACTTCCTCCTAGTTTGTAGTTTCTGCTGAAAAATCTGTTGATAATCTAATGGGCTTTCCTTTGTAGGTTACCGCCTTCTTTTTCCTGGCTGCCTTGATAATTCTTTCTTGGTCATTAATTTTTTTTGGTGGGGGGGGGGGAATTGGGGGATGGGAAACAGACAAGTTGCTGTCGTTTTGTTCTTCAGTCTAGTTG